ACTTGTTTTCGGTACATTCTAAGGGGTGGGCATGTGGTCAACAACGTCCACGCCTCTTGGTTGGACGACCACAATGTTTTCGGAACATCCCTTAGGGTGGGCAAGTGACAAGACCAAAGTCCTTCGTTTATGGAACACCTCGACCAAGAGGTGGGCGAAGGTCGCTTGTTTTCGGTACATTCTAAGGGGTGGGCATGTGGTCAACAATGTTCACGCCTCTGGGTTGGACGACCACAATGTTTTCGGAACATCCCTTAGGGTGGGCAAGTGACAAGACCAAAGTCCTTCGTTTATGGAACTCCTCGACCAAGAGGTGGGCAAAGGTCGCTTGTTTTCGGTACATTCTAAGGGGTGGGCATGTGGTCAACAACGTCCACGCCTCCGGGTTGGACGACCACAATGTTTTCGGAACATCCCTTAGGGTGGGCAAGTGACAAGACCAAAGTCCTTCGTTTATGGAACACCTTGACCAAGAGGTGGGCGAAGGTCGGTCAGTTTTAGGTTCGAATTGAGTGGCAAGTTCTATCAGTTTTAGGTTTAGATTTCCCTAATGTGCGGGCAACAAAACTAAAGTCCTTCATAAGGAGCACACCTCAACACAATTGGGCGACGATGAGTGACGAGGTATTAACTAGGATTCATACAGATTTAAGAGGAGCGAGTGGTGATTATGGTTTATTGCATATAAACGAGAACATTGAGAAAGCATAAGGAGCATATGTCAACATGTCTACGAGAAATCGTAATACAGAGCAACTCAAAAAATGGAAAGCAAAAGCATTACACGACACAAATAAGAAGAAACCAAGGTTTTCATTCCATGGCGGGTACAAGATTACAAATTGCATTAAAATAGAAATATGAAAATACATCGTCGAGCACCTAAAACTATTTTGGAGGAGCGGTCGCAGATAGAGCAACGCCGGTCGACTACGCAGCAGCGGTAGAGGACACAGTTGATGACACCGTGGCAGAAGCCCGCGCCGCGGAAGTCGACTGGGCAGTTGTGGCCGACGACATAGCAGCAACGGTCGAGGAGGCGTCCGCAACTGACGAGGCGAAAGCAGCAAACCCCAACTGAGCCGCTGTGGTCGACTGGATGGCCGCAGAGGAGGCAGAAGCAACGGTGGTCGAGTGCGAGGCGCCAATCGAAGAAAGGGAGGCGACGGTAGAATGATTGAGAGCCGAGGCTGATGAATGGGAGATGGACGAAGGAGCGTGGGTGGTAACAGGCTGTGGAGGAAGGAAGCCAACTGAAAGACGGACCAGGGGTGCCTCGCCTGGCCTGGGCAAGTCAAACGAACTCTTCAAAGAAGGATCACCCGCTAAGGTCTTCTCCAGAGAACTGGCCCACCAAGGATGATCGGCGGGCAGAGTGGGATCACCGGTGAAGCTAGAAGGAGCAGAGGGAATTGCTTCCCATGTTTTATCCTGGTCAAGCTCACCAGTGAACCCCATCTCCTTCAGCTGGCGCTCGACTTCCTCCATGCTGTAGGTATAGAAGTCCATCCCCATCTCAGCAGCCTCTTTGAGGAACGCCGTCGAGCACAGGAAGTCTTGGATCAGCTGCTCTCGATAAGCTTTAAGGAAGTTCTGACCAACTTGGGTCCTCCACAAGGCTCGACGAGACTGCTCGATAGCAGTAATAGCAGCGGCCTCAACCTCCTTCTTTCGGCCAGCCCGCTCTACCTCGAGAGCCTTATCTTTGACTTGCATAGCCTCCTTAAACCGCTGCTCGTCTCTCTTTATCTTCTCAGCTAAGGCATGGCGGGTCTTGAGCAGATCCTCATTCTCGGCCCTCAACCTCCGGTTCTCTTCCTCGAGACGCCTATTATCGCCCTCGAGCACAGGAATTGGGCGACCGGTGCTGTTCAGCGTTTCCTTGAGGAGAGGCACGACAGAGACCAAAGTCTGTGGCAAGAGCAAAAGTCAAGTACAACACGAAGCAAGGTGCTCGAAGTAAAGTTAAGGGAGGAAATATACCTGCGTCACCGCACGAACGGCATACTCGGCCTGATTACGACGATTCACCCCCCAACGATGTGTATCGTCAAAGGGCAGAAAGCTCATCAGCCGAGACACGGTCTCTCGGGGACCAGCCGACACAAGCGACAACGAAGAATATGAAGGAGGAGGGTTCCCGGAGGAAGCAGCTTCGGGTTGTGGTCGCTTGGGGGAAGGAAGCGGATTTGTGGAGAGGGGACCAGTCCCTTCAGTCCGAGGACGTTTTTTGGAGGCGTCACTCTCTCTTGTCGAGTGGGAGGAGTGACGCTCGACTTGCTTAGGAGGAGGAGAAGGAGCTCGTTGCCTGCTCGAATGGGAGGAGGCGCCAGCACCAGGCTTCTCTGATCGAGAGGGGCCATCTTTGGTCGAGGAGGGGCCTTTGGTCTTCTCGACGTTGGCAGAAGTGTGAGCAGACCTTCTATCACCAGTCTTCTTCAAATCAGGCTTATGCAAAAATCCCTCTGCAAGAAGGATAGAGGTGGTTAGAAGTCGATCAACGATATTAAACAAACCTAAGGCACGATGATGATTCGAGCACCTGCTCGAGCTGTCGCATTTACTTAGCAAGCTTAGGGTCGACACGAATTTGAAGAATGGTTTCGGCGAGAGGAGGAGAGAACGCCTTATGAGTCAAAATTCCACAATAGTGGAGAAGATTATCATTCTCAAGGAGGGGAGTCGAAGCAACAGGATTGGAATTCCACACTTGGATGCGACGGTCGAAGATGGGGTTAGCAGCAGGACGGGCAGATTTTAGAGGTACTTCGGTAAGCCAAGGAACAGGCGCCCAAGGATAGGGCTGAGGGGGACGAACATATACAAACTGGTCTTTCCATCTTGGGACATTGGATGGTCGATCAGTGATAAAACAAGCTTTATTCCAGCTCTTTAAGTAAAGACCGTCTGCTTGTGTAGAAGCGAAATAACAATATACAAAAAAATCTAAATCTACCCTACCCATGCGAACCATGGACAAAATAATAAAAGATGCTAAAGTTCTAAAGGCGTTGGGAGTAATCTGGTTAAGGGGCAGGCCGTATAAACCACAGAGGTCGAGCAACGCTTGGCAAATAGGGAAGCGTAGACCGAGGTCGAAGTGGGCGCGGAAAAAGTGTAATAGCCCTCCGGAGGATTATCGTAGGTATCGTCATCGTCAGGAGTACGAGCAGCCCCGGGATGGCCAATTGCAGAAAATTCGAGATGGGAAGCGCTCGTCGATGGTTTGGAAGGTTTGGATCGTTTGGACACCTTAGGGCAAGGAGAGTGAGAAGGCTTGGTAGACGGTATAGGAACGCGAGCGGACAGCGGTACGTGGTCTTGAGGATCATCCTCGTCTTCAATCTCGTCATCCTGGCCGAGAACTCGACGAGCACGCTCGGTGGGAGGAGAAGGAGGGCGACTGGTGACCTCGCCTTCAGGCTGGTCGACAAGATAGGTGGAAGGAGAGAGAGCAGCGGCTGAGGGGCTATCGCTTGTCGATGCAGGGGGAAGGACGAAAAGAGGCTCGGGTTGAAGAATTTCTTGCACAGAGTCACTTGAAAGGCTAAGGGTTGCAGAAGAAGAAGGAGAAGTTAAGTCCTTCCCGCTGTGTCGATCATTCTCACTCGAAGTAGCAGAATCTGAGATAAAAGAAAAAAAAACTATGATTAGTTGGAGGAAGGAGCAAAAACAGAAGAGAAGGAGGAAGAGAGGCGAGGGAGAACACAGCAGGAAGGACGAACGACGGGCGGAGCCATAAATCGACAAGAGGTTGAAGAAGAAGAGGAAAAACCCAAAAATTAAAAACACACAAACACAAATTGAATGATAAACAAGACTTACTCATGGCGACAGTAGAGAATGTGCAGGAAAGATGGAGAACTCAAGGTTGCAGGATGCTCGACGGTTGCAAGAAGCCTTAGTACGATGATATGCAGCAGTGGAGAAAAGGGAAAAAATCTCTCAAGGATGGGTATTTATAGGGGCAAAGAAGAAGGGCTGACCGTAGGATTAAAGGCAAAAAATCCAACGGCAGAAGCGAGAAGAGGCGTGCAAGTGGACGCGAAGATCGAGGTGACACGAGCCACGAGGTCATCATTAGTCTTGGGCAAATGAAAAGACGCGTCCTAAAAAGCGGACAGGTGGCGAAGTTTGAAATTCAAAAAGCAAGAAGTGGCGGTTAGAGAAGGAAACAAAAGTATAAGAGAAGAAAATAGGCTAGATGGTCAAAGACGAAGCAACAGAACCTCCTCGGCACAGACCAAAACTTACTCTTAGATCGAGTCGTTCAGACTCGACCAGAGTGGGGGGACTAGATGATATGGGATATTATATACTGGACCGGTTTATAGGGTTAATCAAAGGAGACCGACCGATTTGTTGGACGGTCTAGTAAGGATAAGGTCGAATGGTATAGTCGAACAGGACCAGACACCGGCCATTAGAACATCGAGCAGATGACGACAGTAAAGGAGAGCAGAGGTGGTCGACAGATACAAGTCAGCTGAGCACATGGTCGAGAAAGGGCGATCGAGGAGACATAGACGCACATAACTGGTAGAGCATCGGAGCACATGGAGGAATCTCCAGCACATGATGAGAAGGACACGCGGCGCATTGTGAGTGGTCAACAGCCGTAACCGACTCTGACATTCTCTGACAAAGGCGACGCGTTCTCTGACATCATGGATAGTGGAGGCGCGCGACCGTACGGACAAGCAGAGGACGGTTAGACGAACGCACTCGCCTCGCGCGTGCAATACAGGTAACTCGCCCTTATAAATAAGGGCAAGAATCCTCATTTTCGACACAATCTGATATACTTTACACCTTATCTCTCAAGATCTGACTTGAGCGTTGGAGGCTCTTCACCGGAAAACACCTCCGGTGTGGGAGTTTCGTGCAGGTTCCGCGTCTAACCGGCGAGGAGAGCAAGCTTAAGGCGAATTCCAGCCGGGCAGGGTGCGAGACTTGTATTAACTATTATACCCCTTTTACGATAGTTAATTCAATTCTAATTGTGGACCGAAACTCATATTTTGAAAGAAACCGATAATATAATTTTTAGTTGAACACGATGAACCATATTGTCTATACAGTTTTGCTATGGAGCCATCGGATGGTTCGGCTTATGGAGCCATCCACAGTTATTGACAAATAGTATATTGACACGTGTCCTACAATAAATGCACTTTGGACAAGTGTCAATACACTAAGTCATGGATGGCTCCATAAGAAAACCATCCGATGGCTCCATAGAATTTTTGATTGTCTATAATGTAAAATATCATAACAATTTTGTAAAATTATTGAACATAAATAAAACACAAATTGCCTAGTTTTGACTATCATTCAAAAACTAGAAATACGTTTGTAAATGATGTCAAGCTTTTAGTATACAAACCAACACTCTTTATATGTTATAAATAACTCTGAAATTTACCTCCCTCTACGTATGTATTTATACATTATCCCTATTGCTTTTTTTTTTTTAACAATAAAAGATCTGCTCAGTAATTAGTCTGGTGAAATAAAAAAAATATTTTGTTTCTTTTGCTCCATTGTGCATATCAAACTTGCAGGTAACTTAATTTTGTTTGGTCATTTTTATAAAAATACATAAATAGAATTGTTTACCATTTTTCAGCTTATGATTGTTTTCTGTTTGTTTGTTGAAATTCCCTCTAAAGCGAGGAAATTTCAGGTGCATTGACGGCTCTGTAGGAGTGGAGTCACAACTTGTTAATCTTGCTTCAGTAACACAAGTTGTTGATCCCAAACTTCATCAGCATTTAGGTAGTGTCCTCTCTACATTTTAGTACGGCCTTCCAACTGAATGTGTGTGCATCAATATATTTTATTTGTCAAAAGATAATGAAACCATGGATTCTGATTGTCTCTACCTTTCACGAAATGATAAAAATCATCTCTCTCTCACGCACGAGCGAGCAATTCCATGATTACAGGAAAAAAAATGAAAATCTATATCATAAACAAAACCTGAAAAGGTGAAAAAGGGTTGTGTCAGTCTCAAGAACTTCACATAAAGATGTGATTCCCTGAAATGAATAATCTGGTCTGTGTCTTGTTTCATCTCATCAAGCTAGTTCTTTATAATCTATCTCTATTTTGTGTTGAACAGAAACCATTGGTGGGGGAGATTATCTATTTGCTTTCCGAATGCTTATGGTTTTGTTCCGTCGAGAATTTTCTTTTGGTGATTCGTTGTACCTTTGGGAGGTAGTTATCTAATTTTTTGCATCCAACAATATGTATCCGAAAATATAAAGTTAAATAAACTAATCTAGCATTCTTAACATATCCTGGAGTGTTTGTAATAGATGATGTGGGCCTTGGAGTATGATCCTGATTTATTTACCACGTATGAAGACAGTGATTCCGGTTGTGAAAAGTCAGAGAAATCTAAAGAGAGGGCCAAATCAAGAAGGCAATGCGGAAAATTCGAAAGAGAAAACATGAGAAATGGTGATATTGCACCTCTTCCTATTTCAGTTTTTCTTGTAGCCACTGTCCTAAAGGAAAAGAGTGCCAAGTTGCTCACAGAAGCCCGCGGCCTAGATGATGTGGTCAAGGTTATTTTACTCTTCTTTTTGTTTCTTCTCAACTGTATCTCATAGGATCTTAATAAACAAATTAGTTCAAAGATACATTTTTTTTTCTTTTCTTTTAATGCAGTGTACTATACTTCCGAATTACTTTCTCATTATGAATTTTCCCCTTTAAAGGGACATAAGTGTCCGTAGCTTTGCTGCCTCGGACCTAACGATTAGACAATCATTGACATTTGTGTATGCATATTTTAAAACTGGATGCCATACTTTAAAAAACAACCTAAGCAAAAGTAAGACATCTTATAGTAATATTGTGCATTTTCGTTGAGAAAATATGATGGGTCGAACCCCCTAATAGTTATACCTCCTCATACATGAATTTGTGCTTTGAGAAAGTCATAATTCTGGAATTATAGGTAAATAGGTAATGAACTAGTTTTATGGGTTTATACACTATTTGCTCAAGTGTTGTCCTCATATTTGAATTTTCAGATTCTGAATGACATTAGCGGTAACCTTGATGCCAAAAAGGCATGCTCTGGTGCCATGAAACTTCACAAGAAGTATCTGAAAAAGGTATTATTCAACCACTCTGTTTAATTACTGTGAGAATTTGGGAAAAATATGTTGTGTATTATTCAAAAGACATGTACACATATATATAGGAACATAATGAGCCTAAATCTAATCCTACAAGATATAGACAAAATATATTATAACCATATATACAATATATTCTAACATACTAATATATGCTATCCATATATACAATATATTCTAACAATTACATTGATCCAGATACTTGTCCTAGAATATTACCTCTTCAGAGAAACTGATTTTTCTTTCTTTGTCTCTGTGTTGATTGTTTGGTGAGCTAGATTCGATTGATTGCCCTCATAAAATGTATTTGTTTTCTATTAACGCAATCATTTTTCTGCCTCTCACCCGATTTTTCGGAAATATCACATCATAGGCAAAAGCTTCCGGACAGAACGCAAAAGTATAGCTGGTCCATCATTTTTGTGGCTTTGTCAGGGAACAACCTCAACAACGCGCACCATTTTTTTTTTTTT